ACCTTCATTTAAAAACTGCATGTTGTGTTTACTTGTGTTATCTTTGACTAATATTTAAATTTGTTTGATGATCTGAAACATTAAAGTGTGACAAACATGCAAAAAATTAAGAAATCAGGAAGGGGGCCAACACTTTATCACACCACTGTAGATAGATAGATAGATAGAAAGATAGATAGATAGATAGATAGATGTGCTTAAAACACATCTCTTCCATCTTTTTTGACCCTCTTACTCAACTCTCTATTCTAATTCTATTTTATCTGTTTGTTTTCTTTTTATTTAAAAAGGCCTCTAACACTAGCTTTCTCTATTCTTTTTCTATTCTATCTACTTGTTTTCTTTCTTTCTTTCTTTCTTTCTTTCTATATATATATATATATATATATATAAATATATATATAAAACACATTGCTATGTGTACTGCATTAGGCTAACAGAGACTTGTCATAGAACTTACATAATATTGCTCTTTTGTTGATTTTGATTGCTTCTGTTGTCCTCATTTGTAAGTCGCTTTGGATAAAAGCGTCTGTTAAATTACTAAATGTAAATGTAAATGTAATATTCCCATGTCCCATGGATTGATTTGTATAATTAATTTGTTTCTTTGTTTGAAACAATAACACTGGCCTGGAAACTTAGCCCTCATCCCAGACTTTTAATCTTAAACTATGAAAATCATGACATGAACATGAACAGACATGTTTTAAACAATGATCCTCTAAACAATGAGTGAAATTAAAAGAAACCATTTTTTTATGTTTTAAGAATTTCCAACGTTTTTGTTGTGTATAATTTATTTTGAAGCTGTCAGAAATTTTGTCAAATTACTCATATAGTTTAAAAAATATTATTTCAACAATAAAGCTTGACTAAAATTCTGGCTGTGAAATTAGCCATAACAAGACAATGGAGTTCGCTATTTTATTCAAAAACAAAAACAATACATAATTTGAGATAACTTTCAAGAATAATTTGAAAAAAATGACAAATCGGTGATGTTTACATGCACTGCTAATATAATAACAAAAAATGTGTTAAAACCGTTTCTTTATTCATATTTAAATGGCCACAAGGTCAAAAGCTGATACTTACCATATAATGTTTGCAAAGTTATGTCAATTGAAAGACATAAACAAAACAACAACAACAAAGAAGCAAAGGAATCTAGAAAACATAAGCACACACACAAAATATTGCTCATGTAGGCTTGACTTTGACCAAAGTCACTGTGCACCCATAGAAGAGAGAGAGGAGGAAGAGGACGAGGAAGGCACAGGCCATGTTCCAGGCCTCTTCAACTGTATCCTGTGCAATAGCTTCAGGTTTGTTCTCATTCATAAATATAGCCTCTTCAAATAATGCTGTAAAAAAGCATAAGAATAAATTAACATTTAAACTTCATTATTTCCTTGATAAAATTGTTTTAGTACTTGAAATCTAGGGTACCTGTTTTCGTTGAGATGTTAGGCGACAGGATACCAGTAACATGAGTGACCTCACATGTGTACACCTCACCAGGTACCCAGTCTGAAGGTTGGAGATCCAGGTGACTTCGGATGCTAAATTTTCCATCAGGGCCTTTTGCAGGTTGAGTGATCCTGTGGGCAGACACCTCAGTCTTACCTAGCCACCAGGTGATGTTGATGGCAGGTGGGCTGAAACCAAATACCAGGCACACTAGCTCAGGCACACTAGTACCCTGCAGCAGCTCTACAGATGGAGGAGAGCGAATCAACGAGGCTAAAAAAAATAATAATAAAAAAAAAAAGTGTTAAAAGTTCTATAATTATATATATTTATATTTTTTTAAATTATACTTTTATAATAATTTTATTGATATAACTTCAATTGAAGCCTTTCTTTACAAGGATATCAAAATTTTTCAAAACCATATGAAACCAACATGAAAACAATCTCAGCAATTCAATCAAATCAATCCTATTTAAAATATCAGGTCAATTTCTTCCAGATGGCACCCACCATACAAGTTCTCTATAGTGGCGGTGATTGGATTTTGGGATGACTCATGAGAAACAACACACGAGAACGTGCCGTCCTTCCACTCTGATGCAGGCAGCATTAGGGCACTATGCATTGAAAAACCTCCTGACGTGTGAGTAGCCACAGGACTGTTAGTGAACTGAGATGCATCTAGCTGTGTCTCATTTAGTAGCCACTGCACGGAGATATCAGATGGGAAGAAACCAGTGATCAAGCAAAGAAGGCAGGCATTTTGGAGTCCAGAGAGATCACTGTCTGAGGGTCTGAGGATTCTCACAGTGGGTTGTTTGGGGTCTGCAGGCATAAGGCAACAATTAGTAATCAGAAAATAGTCTCTGCAGTGGCAGTGCTGGGAACTGTGAGTGCTCACCTCGGATTTTTGAGATTCTCTTCTCCTGTGTATAATCTGAGCACAGATGCTTAACCTCACAGGTAAAGAGAGCATATGCATTCCAATCTGTAACTAAAACCTTCAAAATACTTTCTTTGCTTTCAGTCCCATTGTCATGAACTCTAGGCTCTTGTTCATGGCCATTTGGATTGGGAACGATACCATTCACTTTCCATTGAATGGAGAACAACTTGACACTCTGACCAACAACCAAACATGTCAAATAGACAGAGGTGTCAGATCTCACACTACTGAGGGATGGACCCACCAGGTAGAACTCTGCCCGCTGACTGGATGGTGCAATCACTGTTGGACAGTGAACACATGTGTTGAGAGATTACATTCGCTGACTCAAAGGTAAGGAAAGAAACCAAACATTCTTGCATAAACTATAATATTATCAGATATCTGCATCTCATTGCAATGTTGATTATAGAGAGGGGGTTCCTGTCACATTTGGCATGTTTACCTGTGCAAATACTGGTGCTTTTCCCAACAGTTGCAGTTTTAGTTTTAGTTTGACAAGTGATCCCTTGATTCCACTCTTGCTGTGTCACCAGTATCTCACTGAACACTTTCACACGTCCATCTTCCATTATTGCAGCGTCTAAAGCTCTCCCAGTTTTCTCGTCAGATACTGAAAGCCACTTGATTTTCGGGTCGAATCCTGTCGCAGAACACAGCAGCTTCTGTGGGTCTAAACTAGATCGACTCACACTGGGAACAACAGCAAGCTCTATGGTAGGATCGCCTGAGGGGGAAAAAAATCAAGTTTCAAGTGTTCAGTGAAGAAAAAATAATACATCCTTAATAAAATTCAATGCATTACATAAATTACTGTCCCCAGTATAGTTAATGTTGTATTGATGAAATGTTCATTCCTCACCAAAAATGTTTCCAGTAGGTTTGGATTGCCAGGATTTGGAGAGCCTATGAACTGTACAGGTAAAGGTTTTTCCATTGTTCTGGTGCTCACTAGGTATTGTAAAATGTGTGACCAAGGACCAAATGTTTTCAGAAGGGGCCCAATCCACACAATTTAAACCTGAGACTGAAATATCATCGGACTGGAAGATGATGCAGACCTCACCAGAGGGAAGACCATTTACAACACACTCCAGCACAGCACTGGCTGCCTGCATTGATTTCACGAAAGGTCTCCTGATCACCACCACAGGATCTTTCTTTATATCATCTGAGGGACACAAATATACTTTATCACATGATATGTAGGTTTTAGAACCTAAATCATCATCAGGAACTTTGACAAATGCTGATCAGTGCAAAAGAAACCACTTACCAGCTTTAATTTCCACCTTCTCTAATTTGAAACATGGATGTTTAGCGGTACAAACAATGGTGCTATGAGTCAACTCTTGTCTGGACAAAGTCAAGTTGCTCACAATGTTATTAATGGACGGGTCTTTATGTTCTGTGGTGCCTTTTCTACTTATACTGTTTATCAACCATGACACTTCAGTGTTGTCTGGTGCTTTAACAACACAGGAAATTGTGACCTGACTCCCCTGTATAATATCTCTGAGATGAGATTTCTTTACTTGGATTGAAGGTTTGAAGAAAGACGTTTCTGTACAGGTGAAATAAATAAAGTTAGCTTTACAATCACATATGATGATGTTTATACTGTCAAGCATAAACTGTTAGTAGAAGGTTTGAAAAGGTTATTGAGAACAGATAAAACACCTTTGCAGCAGAACTACACCAAAATACTGTGTCATGTCAAAACTAGATCTTACAGTACGTCTGAAAAAGCATCTGGAATTCTGTTCAAATTGCAACTTGACCTCTGACAGAAGATGGGTTCCTGTCACATTTGGCATGTTTACCTGTGCAAATACTGGCGCTTTTCTTAGCAGTTGCAGTTTTAGTTTTAGCTTGACAAGTGATCCCTTGATTCCACTCTTGCTGTGTCACCAGTATCTCACTGAACACTTTCACACGTCCATCTTCCATCATTGCAGCATCTAAAGCTCTCCCAGTTTTCTCGTCAGATACTGAAAGCCACTTGATTTTCGGGTCGAATCCTGTCGCAGAACACAGCAGCTTCTGTGGGTCTAAACTAGATCGACTCACACTGGGAACAACAGCAAGCTCTATGGTAGGATCGCCTGAGGGGGAAAAAAAAATCAAGTTTCAAGTGTTCAGTGAAGAAAAAATAACACATCCTTAATAAAATTCAATGCATTACATAAATTACTGTCCCCAGTATAGTTAATGTTGTATTGATGAAATGTTAATTCCTCACCAAAAATGTTTCCAGTAGGTTTGGATTGCCAGGATTTGGAGAGCCTATGAACTGCACAGGTAAAGGTTTTTCCATTCTTCTGGTGCTCACTAGGTATTGTAAAATGTATGATCAAGGACCAAATGTTTTCAGAAGGGGCCCAATCCACACAATTTAAACCTGAGACTGAAATATCATCGGACTGGAAGATGATGCAGACCTCACCAGAGGGAAGACCATTTACAACACACTCCAGCACAGCACTGGCTGCCTGCATTGATTTCACGAAAGGTCTCCTGATCACCACCACAGGATCTTTCTTTATATCATCTGAGGGACACAAATATACTTTATCACATGATATGTAGGTTTTAGAACCTAAATCATCATCAGGAACTTTGACAAATGCTGATCAGTGCAAAAGAAACCACTTACCAGCTTTAATTTCCACCTTCTCTAATTTGAAACATGGATGTTTAGCGGTACAAACAATGGTGCTATGAGTCAACTCTTGTCTGGACAAAGTCAAGTTGCTCACAATGTTATTAATGGACGGGTCTTTATGTTCTGTGGTGCCTTTTCTACTTATACTGTTTATCAACCATGACACTTCAGTATTGTCTGGTGCTTTAACAACACAGGAAATTGTGACCTGACTCCCCTGTATAATGTCTCTGAGATGGGATTTCTTTACTTGGACTGAAGGTTTGAACAAAGACTTTTCTGTACAGGTGAAATAAATAAAGTTAGATTTACATTCAGCCAATAATCACATGTAATGATGCTAATGCAATAATTATACTTTCAAACATTTCAATGAGCCAGACATTAGGTTTTGAAAGTTGTTCATTATTTTCTTCATTATGCTCAACTTACCCATGCACGTGTTATATTCTTTCTTGAACTCTTCAGAGTTGTGCGTTGCTTTACAAGTGTACTTTTTGTCTTCATATGGGGCACTGATAGATAGCCGACTTACGTAAGTGTACTTTTTCTCACCTTTATCAGTGTTCTGAAGCTTTTTATCAATTTGACCTTTGACAGAATTAATACCCTCAAGCCATTGTACAGTAAGTTTGTCTGGGAAATAATCATTCAACTGGCACTCCAACACAATCCTGTCACCGTCCTCTCTACTCAGCAGAGCAATAGTAGGCTTATAGACGCGTATTGCTATTAAAATAGAGATGAAAATAAATTAACTTAGGCAATGTAGTATAAACAAAGGTACAAAGTTTATGAAAATGCTTATTGAATACATTCAAATGGACATGCAAATGAATGCTGTTGATGTTTCAGTGTGGTGGTTATTTACACCATGGGAGTTTTTTAAATGTTGCAGATACTGAAAACAAAGATGGACAGAAGAGGAAATCAGAATCATGCTTCAGTGAACATAGCAAATAGCAGATGGAAGCGTTAAGTAACAGTCAAGCTGAAATAGCCACCGAAAGCAGAACTGATAACCATCTGCATTTCTGAGACATGGTTGAGCACATCTGCACAGGAAAGACACCTTGCCATTTACATAAAACGACTCGCTTGTTATGCAATTTATGTTTTAATAAACTTTGCAGCATGAAATATTTACACTCACCAATATTCACAACTAGACGTTGCTGTGCTTCAGTCTCACAAAGAACAAAGTAATACAGATTTGTTGAAAATTAATTATTGGATTTAAGAAAATTCTGTGTAAGTTATTACATTCAGAAAATATGGAAATATTTAAAAAAGGCTTTTAAATACCTCTCTGTGTTAATAAATTTTACTTTTTATATAAACATGCATCAGAGCAGCATTAGAGTTTATCGTGCAAATCAGAGTTTCTCCTTGAGATAAAATTTTGTAAACTTGAGAGAAAAAAAAAATCAAGAGCAATCAAATGGTTTCTTTCGTTTATTAAAGTAAAATTTAAAAACAAACAAACATCACAATCACATATTTACAATAATGAAAAAAAGAATAGAGCTGTTTTTCTGAGAGATCTTGCATGTCCTTAAAGGAATCTATCATTTCACCTGAAAGCATAATTTGACACCAATTAGAGCCAGAAAAAACAACTTCTGTTTAACATGCATATGTTAAATATATGTCAAAGTTAAATATTATGTTAAAAAGCAAGAACAAAGTTTTTGCATCATCTCTCTCCAAATGATAATTGGCACAAAATTAAAATGCTCCAATAAAATCTAGTCTCATGTTTATCCTAAACTAAAAATTAACTAGACAAAAAAAAAAATCTAAAAATGGCATACCTTAACAAAAGTAGCCCCTATGCTGTAGAACAAGGTGATGAGGAACAGGAAAACAAAGGTTACAGCAGTGTTAGCAATGCCACTATCATCGGTATCAATAGCTTCGTACAGGGGATGCTCTATCCACACAATCCATGCTGCGGGAACAGACAAGAACACATTTGCATGACCTACAGGACAACAACGCCACTGTCCAGCACAAACATGTCCTCTTATAATTATAATGTTTTAATCACTTCACCTACCCATCCTCATATAAAATTAGACAAGTGGGCTGAGGGCAAGGATATCCAGTAAAAGGAAAACAATTAGAATATTGTGATGGAGAAAGAACCTTGATTGAATTATACTGTTTTTGAAATTTGAGGATTTTCATCTGCCATGTTTCATCTTGGTAATTATGTAGCACATTTACTACATAATTAAAACACAATAGAAATATTAACAAAGAAAGGTGACCCTGACAACCTCAAATAAGTCAGCTGAATGTGTCTTGGCATGCTGAGGATGAACTGATGTGGCTATGAATTATCATTCTTTAATAACTGAACTGTTATGGAGAGCATAATGTGTTTAGGTGATTATAATATCAAACAGTACAAATGACATGCACACACACACACACACTGACAAACATTTCTTTCCATTATTAAGCATTTTATGTGCCAGCTAATGGTATAGCTTTAATGACATTTAGTCTTTTTTAACTACAAAGTTATATATATTTTTTATATTTATTTTTATTTATTTATGGGTATTTCTTAATTACTTTCAAAAATTGCTTTGATTATTCTTCTTCCATTTTTGATATTTTAACTGAAGTTTCATGTTTTAATTTGAATACATTTTGCGTCATTCAATAAATAAATATACACATTTTTTATTTCAATTTATGTGATGTTATTTTATAATGTTTGTGATCTTTAATGCTCACATATGCTGTGACAGAGAAATATGATAAACTGGTATAATAACAGAAAGGCACAGGAATTATGCTTTGTTTCTTTTTTATTAGTCTTTTCCTAAATGTAATGCGCAAGAAAGTATCTCAAAGAAGCAAGAAGCCACAAACATTAAAGACCAACACAATTACAAAAATGGACATGCAAACCAAAAACCAAAAGGAAAAAAAAAAGAGAAAACAAGATGAACACTTAACAGGCATAACAGGAAGACACCACATACACAACGATCTAGTCCTTGCAAGATGCGGGGGTATTCATACTTAGATTAATTACACCTGCCTTATCAGTATTATCATCAATAGATCTCGTCAGTACGCGCATTTTTTCATCAATGCCTTCGTGATACACGACACAACTGAACACTGTACCATTCTTCCACTTGGAATCATTAACTGTTAGCTGACTGTAGACTGAGAAGATTTGATCTTTCTGAATTGGCAGGCTAGTGCTGTATTTAGAAGTCACAGGTTCATCATCAGCAAGCCAAGACACAAACACCTCTTTGGGGTAGAAGTCCTTCACATAACATGTCAGGGTCATCGGTTCACCCGGTTTGTGCTCTGGGGGTGCTAATATGAAAACAGTGGGTTTCTTGGGGTTTTTACCTAGTAATACAAGATCACAATTAAGACCAGAATGAGTCATGAGTCATTTCCTTTTTATTATTTTTTGTCAAACTCTATATTAACGTCAATTGTAATGAAAGATGGTATAAATCAAGAGACATTGTGAAAGCATGAACTGCATGTTTTACAAAAAGAAAAACTCATACCATTTTCTCTGACGAACTTAGTCGACTTGGGCTCTGCTAGCTCGTTGTGTTCAACGGTGCATGTAAATTCAGTGCCGTTGCTCCATTCTTCATAGCCTATTGGGGCGTCAAGTTCCACATGTTTGTCGTTGCCCTCTACTGGTTTCTCAGCGATGTCATTATTATTCGCTGTTATTGTTATTTTGGTGAATCCTGAATTGTCTGCTGAAGCTTTGCACTTCAGCACTCCTTCTCTATTTTTCAGCATGGCTTCAAGGGAGGGAGCCACTATATCAACAGCAATATCGCTGCAATCTTGAAAAGGAACTGGGTACAAAAAACAGACAGATTTGGGGAGACATAAACATAATATGAATAAAGAAACAGAAAAACAATAAACATTTCTATTTTCAAAACATTCACAGTTCTCAAGGGAAAACATACCTGCATATTCGGCCTCTCTTTCTTCATTTCCCGCCTTGTGCACGAACTCACACTTAACTTTGCTGTTTGGCTTCTTCCAGTCATCGGCACTGATTTGCAAAATGCTTGTGGCACTATATTCGGTTACTGAGCCTTTCTTCTCACTTTTGTCACATTTGTCTATCGCTTTTGTCACCTCCTTACCATCCAGAGACCACTTAAACGTGTATGTTTTAGGCGAAAACCGTTGGGCTAAACACATGAAGGTTGCTGTTTCGTTGTCTAACTCCATTTTTGTAGGTACTGTTAAGTACACAGTTGCACGCGCATCTGGCGGTGGGGCTGGCAACATACAGGAGAAAGCAGAGGGGACATGAAAAGCAAAGGAAAATAGTGCAACATACCTTTTAAAGCAAGCCAATAAGATGCTCTTGTGGTTCAGTTTGAACGTCACTGTTAAATGTTGTATATTTATATTTAAATTATTTTTTTCTTCTTCTTCTCCTCTTTTGGTTTGTACAGCAGGGAAAAATCTCATATGTCATTGTATTAGCCTACCTGGAGTATTTCTGAAAGCCTAGGGGCATTTAATTGATTAAAGAAATCGTGTAACCTACAATGTGCTTTTCTGTTCTAGCATTTAGACTAGCTATATTTGTGGCCTTGCTGTTCTCAGCTGGTGTAAACATTGATTGACATCAGACTTTGATAAAGGACACCTGCTTGACATAACAGCAGGTTCACTGGTTAAACCAAACCCAGACAGCAGACCGTTTCGGCCCAGATCCGGCCCACATCTGGCCCGCATGGATTTCACATGGGCCAGATGTGGGCCGGATCTGGGCCAACACTATGTTGCTGTCTGGGAAGAGTGTGCTAAAATTTCCAATTAAACATGAGCCTCCACAAAGAAACAACAACATAATCTTAACCCAACAGCAAGATAGCCTATAGAGAGACACATGAAGTAGCTAATGTAAAATGTTAGATATTTAAAAAAAATTGAACTTACATGGTGGAGTAATATCAGATGCTAATTTGCCTACAGTATTTGAAGCTTCGCATTTGTAAGGTTTCTTAGGATCCCAATCGCTTTTTCTTATGCGCAGAGAGCTGATTTTGGTATAGTCTCCATCCGGTCCGAATGCTGGATACTGCACGAAATCCACAGCTGCCGGTTTTTTACAGTAAATTTTACGGAATTTTTTTTACAGTGTACATACAATGTCATGTAGTATGCTATGAACACTATTAGACCTATTAGACAGCTAGACTACATCTCAGATGATTGACTGGAAGGATGGATTAATGAATAAAATATAAGAAAAATAAAATTGCATTAAATAGATTATAAAATAACGTAAAATACAGCAAAACGATGGAGATGAACTGGTTTTACGCAAGAAGAAAGACTTCGCTGAGTAGCCTATCGAAGACTTCTCTTCGAAGTCCCGATCATCCTGAGGCTTTAAACTTTGCAGGTCATCTTAATATGTTATGCCGCACACAAGGCCTACTTAACAAATAAGTAGGCTATGTAAGGCTACTACATGGATATTAAATATTGATTGAATGTTCCGAAAGGTCGGAGAGCACAGATTTTTTGAAACAGGTTTCCCAGATGAGCAAAAAGGTATTTTATAGTTTTAGACGCTGAATGCTCGATTAACCAAATAGAATCAAGCATAATAAAACACAAAATCTTGCGAATTAGGTGAAATATTTGTTTTCTTGGATGCTGTAATAAATAAAGTGTTATATATCTAAACTAATTTATTACTGGAAATTTTGACTGCAGGATTACTTTTCAGTTAGTTTCTAATGAATCAGTTCACATAACCTATGAAATGTGTAAGTTAAAACAAACAAATATAACACTTTAGTACAGGAACCAATTCTCACTATTAACTAGTTGTTTATTATCATGTCTATTATTAACATATTGACCGTTTATTAGTAGGCTACTTATAAAGCACATATTCTGCATGACGATAATACATGCCCTTAACCCGACCCAATACCCAAACTTGACAACTATCTTACTAACTATTAATAAGCTGCAAATTATGAGTACAACTAAGGCACAAGTCGTAGTTAATGGTGGTAACACTTTAGAATAGGGAACACTTATTCACTATTAACTACGACTTTTCCCTCAATAAATTCCTAATTTGCTGCTTATTAATAGTTAGTAGTTGTTAAGTTTAGGTATTGGGTAAGGAATGTAGAATAAGGTCATGCATTAATATGCGCTTAATTAGTACTAATAAATGGCTAATATTCTAGTAATATGCATGCCAATAAGCAACTTAAGAGACCCTAAAATAAAGTGTTACATTAAGGGTTTGTTAATAGCGAGAATTGAACCTTAAAATAAAGTGTGACCCAAACGAACAAATGAAAACAACAGGGATAATTAGCCTAAATCAATTTATAATTATTTATTAAATAGCGGTTGGGTACCGACCTAAGACCTTGGCTATATGCCGGTGTTTTACTTTGGCTATTTATTTATTTAGAACTGAATTTGTATTTTGGAAATTGTATTTTCTTAGTAATAGCGGAATTCAATTTATTATTTTAAAATATAACAAGTAGTGGCCATAGCAGTGTAAAAAGTTTAAACGCACGAGACACGTTGCAGTCTTTATTTAGTCATATTTAGCTGTTTTCAGCTTCTAATATTTGCACAGATTGACAACACTTGCGAGAAGAATGAACAGTTAAAGTAGTCGTTTAACAATGCTGTTATTGATTTTTGTTCGCTTTTTTAGCAGCTATACAACGAAACATTATAAAATGATGTAGCCTAGTCTTTAACATTTTCTAATGGAATAACCATTCATTTGACAACAATCAATAGAAAACTCTTAAGATATCATAAGAAAACTGTAAATAATAACACATACATGTGACATTTTGTCTTATTTTACGATAACTGTCCTTGCCATTAATAATAAAATCTTACTGTTTGTTACGGTGACTTTGGTGCCGCTTCCCCAGTAGTCGAAAGCCCAGTTACACAATATTATTTTAATGTTACAGCGCAGTATAAAAATGCAACTCAAAAATGCTCAGGATCTGTTAAATGGCTTGTAGCCGATTCGTTGTTTTATCTGAATGCGTGTAGGCTACACATCAAAATATGTACAATTTAATTATTCATAATTAATGTGAATCTTTGCGTTTCTAGCAGAACTCTAAAGACATGCCCCTACTTTAATTGTCCGAATCGTAGAGTAAATAGCCATTTAAACGTTGCTTAAATATAAAACAACTTTTTGACAAATTAGCCTACCTGTCACAACTTTTCGTACTTAGATCAGATTTTGTTTTAGTAAGTTTTTCTTACCTGACGAGACAGTGACCATGGTTCCTTTCCCCCAGTAGTCAAAAGCATAGTCACACTGACAGTTTTACCCATGGATATTGTACAAAAATAGTACGCTCGTATGACAAGTCACTTTTATTTATTACCCTAAGCCACAAATACGACTATTTATCCTTTTAATTCAGTCTAAGTTAAATTCTTGCAAAACGGACAAGCGGTCTGTACATTTAGTTTTCCTATTATTTTTAAAACACATATCAACGCTTATGAAAGATTTAAATTATACTTCTTACCAGATGTCACTGTGACCGACGTGCCTTTCCCCCAGTAGTCAAAGGCAGCGTAGTCACAGTGATACTTTTAATTTCTTCAGTGCACAAAAACTCTAACGATTTTTTTTTATCAGCAAACCCAGCTACAATTCTATTTATTTCATAATTAAATGCAACATTGTCCATTAGTTCTCTCTCTCTCTCTCTCTCTCGCTCTCTCTTTAAACTACTGGACTAAAAGTCTGTTACTAAACATGCATTTTTTTGTAGTTTGGCTCTAACTAAACAAAAATCTGACTTCTTACCTGATGTTACAGTCACCGTTGTTCCCTTTCCCCAGTAGTCAAAGGCACCGTCACAACGAGAAGATTTACGATAAGAGCCATACCATAACCCTAATAGTACATTTACACTGTCTTGCCATAGGCCTCCGTTATCAAAGCGACTAGTTTAGAGATTTTAGTGCGCACTTTCTTTAATCTGAGAGTTTTACTCGATATTGTTTACGATTACCGACGTCCCCTTTCCACTATTAGCAAAGACAAAAATTGTAAATACGGCTGCATGTTATTTGTGTCAAGACCTTACCTGATCTTCAAAATTGTATAAAAATGGAATAACAGAAAATGTCAACAATATCTTACCTGAGGAAACGGTGACTTTGGTTCCTTTCCCCCAGTAGTCGAAGTAGTTGACACAGTGACTGGTGCCTTTGAGTTACTAACCAAAAACCCACAAGAAGAATGCATTATAATACACAAACTAAATGCAATAATATTCACATCATGCAGCAAATTACACAGAATTGTCACAGTGTACAAAAAAGTGATCATCATATCATAGTCAGGTTTCCCCCTTAACATTGTTGTGCATTATTGTCATTTAATATTTCTTATAAAGCCCTAATTTTACTTTTGTGTGTGTGTAAGATATAAAAAGTGCAAAATGGTTACATTTGATGGCAGTGTGTGTCATGCTGTAGTGTAGTCTATATGGTCATGTAATAAATACAGATTTTAATAGTCTCTTTTTGATTATTTTACTGTATGAAGTCTTAAGGTGAAAATGATGATAGAGAAAAATCTATTTGATTGCACATGATGGATTCACTGATCATTGATTTACAGATGCTTCTGAGCTTTTTGTAATGGGTTGAAATACTGTGCCCCAGCCCCCGTATACACAGACAGACAGTCCATAACAAAAACAAAGACCCTGTTATCAGAGCACACACATTTATCTGACTTCTCAATGAAAAAGCAGGTTTAAAAATGTAGGTATAATTTCAAACTTAAAACTAAATAAATTAATGAATAAAATAAATAAATAAATAAATAAATACTATAATTAACATTGCACTATAAATGTTTGAGGACTGCTTTAAGTCAGTGTTGTTAGCCCACTACATTTAACTGACTGGGGGGGAAAAACCTGCTCTTTTGAAAATAAAACAAAATACACTGCCTAGCCAAAGAAAAGACGCCATTTGAATTTAAATAAGCAAATACTTAAGGAGTATTTATTTTATTTATTTTAGGATTGAATTATTTTTGCAGTAATGAATATGTTTCTGGCATGTTGTATGTTTGGCAACAATTCTCTTAACCCTAACTGATACAGTCTGTAGCTTTTTGTTTCTCAGACAACCATGATGGAAGATGTACACATACTCCAGGATGACAATGATAAGATTCATCAGGATCAAACTGTGAAAGAGTGATTCAGCGTGCATGAGAAATCATTTTCATACATGAATTGGTCACCACAGAGTCCTGATGTTTGCAGACCACGACAGCATCGCGGCACCACGCGTCATTGATGCATTGATTATGGCTACAGATGAGGGCAATTTGTGTCATATAGTCTATATGGTCATGTAATAAATAGATTTTAATCTGCTTTTTTTGATTATTTTACTGTATGAAGTCTTAAGGTGAAAATGACAATAGAGAAAATCTATTTAGGCTGCACATTATAGATTCACTATTGTGATCATTAATTTACAGATGCTTCTGAGCTTTTTGTAATGGGTTGAAATACTGTGCCCCAGCCAGACCCGTATACACAGACAGACAGTTCATAACAAAAACAAAGACCCTGTTATCAGAGCACACACATTTATCTGACTTTTGTATCAGTGACTTTAGGATCACTATATTTTCATACTGACTTCTCAGTGCCACTATTTAGTTTAAAAATGTGGATATAATTTCAAAATTGAAACAAATAAATAAGTAAAACATACATACATACATACAGAAAATATTATAAACCGTAATTAATATTCTGCACTATAAATGTTTGTTGAGGACTGCTTTAAGAATTTAGTTTTAGTACTTTTAACTGACTGAAAAAAGTTGTCTATTGAAAATACTAAAACAATACATTACAATCAACTTACATACATTCATGTTTGAGATGAGAACATAATTATATTGTGCAAAGTCTAAGCGAAATTCAGCTTGGTCATCAAAATTGTATGTGATTTGATCAGGTTGCCAGAAATTGTTCAAATACACTGCCTGGCCAAAGAAAACTCATCGTTTGGATTTAAAGCAAATACTTAAGATTTTAGGATTGAATTATTTTTGCAGTTATGTAATATGTTTCTGGCATGTTGTATGTTTAGCACCTGATCTTAACCCCACTGAAAGCTTTAGGATGTGCTGGAGTAGAGAAATAATACAATCTAAAAATGTATCAAACATAAAAGTTAACATGGCTGAATTATTTTGGGATAACTTATACTCTGTACTTAATTGAAATTACATCTAATTAACACAAAATACTTATATTGAAACTATATGAATGAGAAAGGAAACTGCATGCAAACAAATTATGCGGAACCAGTGGCCAGAGTTCAGTTGATTAAATCAACAACAACAAAAATGTCGGTGTTTTACAGAGGTTTGTGATTATGAAATTAAACGTTTCTCTGTTTCACTTAACATTGTTGCACATTATTGTAATTTAATATCTATTATAAAACCCTTATTTTACTCTTTGTGTGTGTGTGTGTGTGTGTGTGTGAGATCTAACGCACAAAAGCTTTTAATCATTGTATAACATCTGTTAAAATCATTTGTTGATTTTTAAAATGTGCAGGCTCATTTTAATTTACATGAAATGTTAATTATTAGGTAATGTTTAATACATTTATTAGTAAACAATAACAAGCACATTATTTCAAGTTTCTAGATATGTGAATATATATTAACTAATGATCCATTACGCATTACATAATGTTTAGTAATGATTTATTAATGAAAGTTATTATAAAGTGTTACCCAGAATTTAATCTGCTCATTTTGATTATTCCACTGTATGAAGTCTTAAGGTGAAAAATTATGATGAAGAAAATCTATTTATGCTGCACATTATAGATTCACTATTGTGATCATTCATTTACAGATGCTTCTGAGCTTTTTGTAATGCGTTGAAATACTGTGCCCCCGTAATACACAGAGAGACAGTCCATAACAAAAACAAAGACCCTGTTATCAGAGCACACACATTTATCTGACTTTAGGATCAGTGATCGCTACATTTTCATATTGACTTCTCATGCCGCTATTTAGTAATATGAGTTTAAAAAATGTGGGTATACTTTCAAATTAATAATAATAATCATAATCATAAACAAATATTCTAAACCGTAATTAATATTCTGCTCTATAAATGTTTGTTGAGGGCTTGTTTAGAAGTTTTAGTACTTTTAACTGACTGAAAAAACTGCTCTATTGAAAATACTAAAACACTATACTAACAATCAACTTACATATAAATGCGTATTGCAGAAAGTCTAAGTGAAATTCATCATGGTCATAAAAATTGTATATGATTTGATCACATTGCAAGAAATTGTTCAAATACACTGCCTGGCCAAAGAAAAGTCGCCATTTGGATGTAAAGCAAATACTCAAGATTTTAGGATTGAATTATTTTTGCCGTGATGAATATGTTTCTGGCATGGGTTAACGATTCTCATAACCCTAACTGATACAGTGTGTAGCTTTTTATTTCTCAGACAACCATGATGGAAGATGTACACATACTCCAGGATGACAATGATAAGATTCATCAGGATCAAACTGTGAAAGAGTGATTCAGGGAGAGTGGTTCGACTCTCCCAATGTCAATGATAACTTAAACAGAGCACGCAATATTTAAAATACATCTGATTAAACTATGGTATACTGTGAACCCAAACAAATTATGTGGAACCAGTGTCCATAATTCAACTGAGCAAAAATCCAACAAAAATAACATGTTTCATTGGGGTTTATGAGGTGAAATGTTTCACTGTGGCCACTCCATGCACAGTGATACATGCTTCCTCAAATACTCCGCATGCAACAGGCTTTACACACACCAGCACATTTTCCTTTCTGCTGCAGGTTCTTTCAAATCATTTAAATGCACAGTTTAGCTGTGTAATGTCATACATTTATGTAGCCAATGTTATGCAGTGGATCATTACAGATTAAAACGTTAACCAGTTTTAGACCTGGACTGAAGTTTTTGTCATAGCTTTTATCACCGTGGCCGTTGTATTGCACAGTGATCCGAACAATAGCAAGTACATGAAACCTTATGTTTCATACTTCATAGACTGATAGAGATTTTTCAATGTTCTTTCAAACTGAAATGTTGCAGTCAACTATAGTAGACTCTATATTAAGCATACAAGGAATAAACATCATAGAATTACTGAATTCTATTCAACATTTCGATCCATACTCTGAAATACATAGGCCTATATTTAATAATAGAGTAAATAATGCCCCATAAATATCATACTGCT